TGTGGTATCTATTTCATGCTGTAGTTGAGTTAATTCAGGAATGTGGAGCCCTTTCTGGCTATGAAATTAATATAGCAAAAAAAACAAGTCACTGAACGTGAATTTTTCAGATAAGGCAAAACCCATGATAAGCACATAATATCAGCTGGTATAGTCTGTAAAAACAGTGTGGTATTTAGGGATTAATTTAGCAGAGAATGTATAAGAACTTTACAAGGCCAATAAAATCCCTTTTACAGATCTATTAAATTAAATCTTAAGAAGCAGGAAACATTTCACAGTTCTTGGCTTGGGAAGATTCCTGTTATTAAGCTGAAAAGTACTTGCTGGATTTTTTATTTGTCCTGGATCATGCTGTTATCTAGATACCTTTCTCAAGAGTTGTCAAAATCTTTTAATGGAGTAATTTTGTTGTTGTTTTTGCCATCAAGTCACAGCTGACTTACGACGACCCTGTAGGGCTTACAAGGCAAGAGACATTCAGAGGTAGTTTGCCATTGCCTGTCTCTGCATTATGACCCTGGTATTCCTTGGAAATTTCCCGTCCATGTACTAGCCAGGGTTGACCCTGCTTAGCTTCTTAGATTTGACAATATCCAGCTATCTTGGGTTATCCAGGTCAGTCAGTGGAGTAATTACAAAGACAGAATAGCTTTATCCACTGTGCAGAAACCTTAGGAAAAATAAAGTTGTGAGTTTTCCTAATATTTTGTTGTTCTGTCCTTCTAGCCACTTAAAATATATGTTGCAGTGGATCAGATACAATGGAAATTAGAACTGGTATAAACAAAATATGAGTCCAGTGGCACCTTTAAAACCAACAAAGTTTAATTCTGAGTATGAGCTTTTGTGTGCAGATTCCCTTACATTCTTTTCCCCTGGCAGTTCAAGGTTCTCTTATAAGAAGTTGAAATGTGTTGCATGCTAACAAAGCTATAATTCCAATATCAGATTGCTGAGACAAGGTGCAATCTTCCATTTCTGCTCTTAACACTTGCACACAGAATTGATCATTTATTATCTCTGGAGAAATTACTAAATGGATTTAAATATGGTATAACTAGATTTAGTGATAGATCCAGGTGATGTAATCAAGACTAAGAATGTAATTAAGTACATAATGTAATTTGGAATGGTAGATTTAAATGAATTTCTCTAGTTTGGGGACAAGGAAAATAACTGTACACAGCCACTTGCCTCCCTTCAAAGAAAAAGATGCTGAAAGGTCACCTCCATGCTTGAAAGGAGACAGACTCTCACCATTCCACAGTTAGGGATACCTCAATCTCCAGTTCTGACTTATTTATTACCTATGCTATGTTTGTCCCCCCACAGCTGAACCCAAACAGATGATAGCCATATATACTAAGCTTATTATTCTTTTAATCTGTTAAAAGCACCTTCATTATTCTGTATGTTAATTTACTGCCCACCAGGGGTCATTTCATAGGAAAAAGAGCTGCAGGAGCTCATTAGCATAACTTATTAGCATATGCCACACCCCCTGACATCACTGGAAGTGTGCACCAGCCTCTCTGACAGGCAGAAGCACCTGGGATCCATTCTTTCCCCCCTCTCCCTTCCCTTCGCCTCCAAGTCGGGTGAAGGAAAAGGGGAGGATCTCAGGCGCTTCTGCCTGACAAAGGTGCTGGCGTGCCCACAGCCAGCCTGGGTGAATTATAGAATCATAGACTCATAGTGGGAAGGACCCTCCAGGGTCATCTAGTCCAACCCCCTGCACAATGCAGAGAATTCACCAATACCCCCCGCACACCCCAGTGACCCCTGTTCCATGCCCAAAATATGATAAAAAACCCTCCAGGATCACTGGGGGCCAAACTGGCCTGGAGAAAAATTGCTTCCTGGCCCCAAAGTGGTGATCAGCGTTTCCCAGAGTGTGTAAGAAAGGGCCACATGAACTATGCACTGATGCAACCCTTCCTGCTCTACCTCTTGTGATTGGCCTAAGTTCACACAATCAGCATTATGATCCTTTTAAAGTTGAAAGCATGATATAAATGCAAAGGACTATTTGTAAGATTATCTGTAAGACACAAAACCAGGACACATCTCACTTCTGGTAATCACTTGGAGAGACCCTATCACTCAGCTTCCATTGCCCCCCACACACCCCACACTGGAATAAGAACATAATATCAGGCCATACCACATTGCAATAAAGCCCCTACAACTGTATACAGAAATACTGAGCTTCCCTACCATTTGCCACAACTAGCCCACCACACAACCAGGATAAAGACTCCTAAGTGGACCAACAGACAGGCATACACTCGTTTGAGAAACTGAGTATTACATTACAACACTTCTGGAACATTACAGATCAGTAGAGGCAGCACTGCACAGTGGTCAGAGTTGCAGATTGATGTGGGGAGACCCAGGTTTGTATTCTCACTCTGCTGGCTGAGTGACCTTGGGCAAAATCTCCCCTTCTCTCCCTAACCTACCCCACAGGGTTGTTGTGAGGATGAAATGGAGACTCATGGGCAGGGTCCCCAGCTTCCCTGGCAGGAACACTATGTTAAGAAATCTCTCACAATTATGCAGCCATAGCAGGCAGGAGGGAAGGAGGCGAATACCTCCAGCGCTAGAGACTTGTAGAGGAAGAGTCAAACTTTGGGGACTCACCCGTGCACCAGAGGGCCAAGGCAGCAGGAGGCAAGAAGCCTGGGCGAGCTGGGCTCCTCCATGCCTGGTAGAAGATGAGGTGCAGAGGCGAGAGGCTATTTCTAGGATTTTAAGTTCCTTTATCGACGGTATCCCTTTCGTTTTCCAGCGCTTTGCTATTAATATTCTAGCTGCTGTTAAGATGTAACAAGTTATCCGGTTGTGGTCTTTTATTGTGTCTGGCAACATGTTCAGTAGGTATGTTTCTGGTGTTAACGGGAGATTGATTTTTAATTTTTCTAATAGAATTTTATAAAAAAATTCCAGAATATCTGAATTTCATTACATCTCCACCAAATGTGGAGATATGAGCCTATATTTTCCCCACATCTCCAGCATATGTTAGATGTTCTGGGAAAACACTTAGCAATTTTCTCAGGAGTCCAATGCCACCTATAGTACATTTTGTATATGTTTTCTTTATATGGTGTTGCTCTCATATATTTTATTGTTTTCCATGTTTTCTTCCAGTGTTTTAATTCTATTGCGTGAATGCCTTCCTAATCTCTTGTTTCCCTTTTCCTCAGCAAACCTGCAGCTGGGATAGCAGCTACACGGCCAGGTTTTGTTCAGAATCCAGGCATGCCACCCAATACCTGTTCAGCCCAGAATCCCAGCTTTCTTTTTATATATATATATCATCTTGTGACTTTGCTTTCACAGAAGCAACAATAATCTCTCTCAAAGAAATGAAAGGGAATTGTTGATCCAATCCCTCACCCATCTCTTTCTGTGTGGTTGAGAGCAGCAGAAATCCCAAGTGATCGTCATATGTTCAGAAAAACTGTAAAATAATTTTAGATGGTGCACTAGCAAATCAAAAGGAGCCAGACTGGGGAGCATTACTTAGTAGACGGGGTGTGTGTAATTACTCCAGTCTTTCAAATGCCTTTGGAAGCTGTGGACATTATTTCACATCTAAAAATCTCAACAAAAGTGGTTGGTTTGTAAATATTTTCTTTTTACAGAACCCCGTTTCAAACATTTTTCCCAGTAACATTCAGAATGTTCATGAAAACATTGTGATTGAGACTTTCTACACAGGTGGACTGTCTTCCTTGTAGCTATATATTAAGTACTCTAAAGAGACAAATTTGTCCTTGTTACTTGATTTATCTTCCACAAACTGATTGTCAGCATTTGCTTTGACTGGGTATGCCAATAAAAAACCAGTCCAGAGCCTATAGTCTGTAGTTGGCAAGGAGTCTGAGACAGCACTTCTTAGGGGTCAGCACTTCTTAGGTCTGAGGTTATGAAATATTAATCTGAAGTTCTGTAGTCAGTTTCTTAACTGTTGGTGCAGAGAAATTCTTAGACTCAATATTACTGCATGTTGTTGAGAGATTTTAAAATGTTTGAGGCTACAATGCCATGTATGTTTGTTTGAGAGACGGTCCCATTCAAATGGAGATGATCTACTGCTGAGTAATTGGAATTTAAGGTTGTGGATCCTATTTACACTTCACTTGACAGTAAGCTTCATGAAAATCCCTGAAATCAATAGGTGGTGAGTGTGCATGGAATAGCAGCCTAAAACATACTTCAGCAGACCATGAGGATTTCCATTTCTGCAAGTAGCAGTTCCATGATCTCTGGTTCTGCGTAGTACTTGCCCAGTCATGTGCTGCTGGCACGACCAAACCAGAGATCAGAAAACACATTGCCTTTCTCCCTCTCCTTTCCCCCCCAGACTAGCTTTGCTGTTGGGCTCAGAAGAAAGCCTGAAAGAATCCTGGCATAAGCAAATGATAAAGTAAAAGAAACATAACCCCCCCAAATGGGGGGGGGGGGGGGGGAGAGAGCTAGCAAGAGGAGATGCTAAGCCGCTCGTAGATAACACAACAATTTTAAGAAAATTTCAGGATGTGATGTAACAAACAACCCAGTCAAATATCTAGGAATATTTCTTATGGGACAAAATGGTACACCATTAAAGGACAATTACTTGACAACTTGGTCCGAAATAATACTAAACAGAGTTACATCCTTCTACATTCACAGACGCCACAAAGGTATGCCTCTGCTTAGGAGAGCACTGTATGTTACTTTCCCCCCAGCCTACCTTGAAAACGGGAAAGAAACACTATAATGGAGGGAAAAAAATAATTTAAAAAACTGCTGGACCAGGTGGGAATGGCAGGAGAGAATCAGTGGATGGAAAGGAAGGGTTAAGCATTCTCTCTTGTCCATTGATTCTTTTGTATAAATGCCAGCAACTTCTGCAATTCAGGTACAAGGGAAACATAGCATTGGGAACCCAAGTATTCCGGCTAATTAGTGAGCTCATCTGAAAACAGCAAACTGCAGATACTTACAACCAGTAAAGTAACATCAGCAGGATAAGGGCAGATGATGACTGCTTGGAGAATTTGCCAGTCCCTGCAGAGGGCAGCCAAACCTGGCATGAGGAACTGCCCTGCCATTGCAACAAAGCTTGCCACCATGGTGATCATGAAACGGTGACCAGGAGGACACAGCTCGATCCCTGGGAAAAAATTGAGAAATAAGGTTATGATGGGAGAGGGGGAGAAAGAAGTCTGTTATTTTTTGGAACCGTTATATACTTATAAAATCACAGTTACAAATCCTGAAATGATTATTGAGGGAGAAAGAGTCTACACAGCTCAGTTATTTTATTTTTAACAGAGATTCCTCATTATTCAATGCTTTGCAGATTACAGAATGATTCTATCATAGCATGGGGTAAGTGGGAGTTTTTAGCACCCAGCTTTATATTTCCATCCATTTTTCAAAACAAATGATTCAAAAACCTCTGTATTTTGTGAGTATCTAGCCATTCCAGTTGCCTGAATTCCTCAAAATCCCCTTATTAAAAGAATCCCAATTTTATCTGGGGGTTTCTGTCTGGTACATGATCTAAGAACCTTGCTGAAAGTGGTCAACGCCTGAATGGGAGACCCACCCCTCTCCTCGGTACCCCATATACAGTGTCTTTAGTTCTATGCTAGAACGGCAAGATATAACCTAAAACATAAATATAAAAGAAATATGCCCTGACCTGGATAGCCCAGGCAAACCCAATCTCATCAGATCTTGGAAGCTAAGCAGGGCCAACCCTGGCAAGTATTTGGCTGGGAGATCTCCAAAGAATACCAGGGCCAGGAGGCAAAGGCAGGCTATCAAGCCACTTCTCTGAAGTGTCTTCCATGCCCCAGCAAGAGTCGCCAGAGGTCGCCATGACTTCCAGGCACAGGCGCACTTGCACACACACACAAATGCAAAAAAATAGACATATAAATAAATATAAAATAATATTTCTTGCATTCCAGGAGTTAGATTTTTAGAGATTATGAAAATACAGTCTGATAGCTATGAAATGTCTCTTATGGCACAAAAATCTTTACCAGCTGAAGGGCAAAAAGGTGAAATGTGAATGAGCCAGAGTGTAGCCATGTCTGTGAAGCCCAAGCAAAGAACTAAGGGGAATGTTAGTGCTGAGCCAGCACTGCTATCTGTGTTTTCAGCTGAAGTCTCCAAAACTCTGCATTCCTCGCCTCATGGGGAAAACTAACCTTTAACACAGATCCTGTTTTCTTAAATTACAGTAGTCTGCTGTTCGTGTTGTGCTTGTAGTGTACCATAGATAAGGTAGTAGTACTCTTAAAAGCATGTTAAGAAGGAAGTATAGATTGCTTTTCTATTGGTTTAGACTTGGTGTTGTATTGAGTTGTCATTGTGTAATTGGTGTAACAGTTGTGCAAGATCCTGATGTCAATTTGCCTACGCTTATGCTTTTGTCTGTAAAGTTGTCAGTGTCTTGAACTTTTGTGCGGATACTTTCCTTGACCATGGTCAACTGAATGAAGACTTTGCTTCTACTGAACATAGTTTTATTTATTTGGACCCCTTCAGCTGAACCCAAATTTCTCCGTCACAACACACTATAGTATGGAGTTTTTTCACCTGCTATGACAGAAAGTAAATAAAACAAATGCCAGTAAAACTAATACATGCAAAGAAATAACTTTTAACGCATTTTCATTTTTATACTTTTCTTCTCTCCTTGCTTCTGAGAATCCATATTCCAAAACAAAAGCTGAAACTGAATTGGTCAAACATCATACATATGACTAATCCTTGCGTTCCGGGAACTGGAAGACATGACTCCAATCTTAAAAACATGCCTGTGTCATTGTTTCTTACAATTTCATAATATTGTATCTCAGCCCAGGGTATGGTCTGAAGGGATCCAGTGCAGTAACCTTGCTGTAGCTAAGCCAATGCCAGTGGGAATCTTATTTTACACCCCTTGGAGTTTTGTAAAGGAAGAAAGGTGGGGTTTCAATGTAATGAATAAAGATATGCATTTTAGTTCACTTAGATTTTACACTTGCCATAAATCCTTGGTATAGATGATGATAAGATGTTGATTGATTTGGGAAATTTTAATAGCGCACAAAATATTTAGAGAAATTAAAGCCACACAAAATTATTCTTAAATAAACAACTGTATAGAAAATGGATTCTCTTTTATCAGTTGCTGATTTAGAGATTTGACACATACTCTGAAAAAAATATATAGTATTTTAATCTTCATACAACTTATATAAAATACTTCAACTCTGTGATATAAATGTTATAATGTATGTTAGCCTCTTCTTGCTACCTGTTGACAAAACCTGTTGAAATTCTTAATCTCATGCAATACTGTAATAACCTGTATCGTGAATAAGGGATGTAATTGTCTTTACCAACCCAAACCAAGAATGAAATGAAAAAAATTTAAATAAAAAAGTTCTTAAAGATTTACTTTTCTTTTCCTGTCTGCAAAGTTTAAAGAGTTTAAATCAACAAGTGCCATGACACCCAACTGATAGTTAATCTGTGATAGCTTTTTTAAAAACCAGAGTAACTGGATACAAGAACAAAACAAAGCAAGATTAGTTTTATAGAAAAAGATGAATCATTGGAGTGACTTTCCATCTGACATACACAGCTCCTGTCCTCCAACATTCCTCCTTGTTGTTCTTCAGCTTCCTGGTATCCCCGTGTGAGTGACACAGAGAGTGTGAAACTGGGATGTCATGGGATGTAAAGTTAATGGAAAAGGGGAGGCTATTAACACATGGCTATCTTTATTCCTCATTTTTATCTACTGTTTGGATTTCAAGTGTTCTATCCCTAATAAGTAGAAAAGTGATTACGAACTCCGGTAGTCCACATTTTGTCTGAATACCTGAATGTCAGTCAGTCCTGCCTTAGCCTGAGTGCTCCAACTTGTGTGGGAAACACTGTGGTGGTGCCAGGTCCTTTTTACAGTGTTGGAAGCATTGCCCCCCGTTCTGGGGGAAAGTATTAATTTAGATTCAAAACACTGCAGGATATAAGATCCCATTAAAAATTATAGGTTTTTTTAGGGGGGACATTTAATCGTAAAATAATACCCAAAATAAGATTTTGTTGCTTATTTCATTGCTTTTGGTGTCAGCTAAATTCCTAATTGCAATATTTCAGAAAGAGATTAAAAAATACCTTTAATTTTTTAAAAAATGGTATCTTAAAGATTTGGGATCGCTTGCTCTTGTTGACTGAGAAGGTCTGTTTGCCTGAGGCTGACTGCAGGCCCCACCCTCTGCTGTTGCTGGTGGGAGGCGGGGTCTGTGGGACTCTGAACTGTAAGGCTCCTTCTTGGCAGAGGTTTGAGCAGAAGGGTGAGAGTCAAAGGGCTCTTAACCTGTGGCTCTGAGACTGGGGATTTGTCAGGTCCCCACAGCAAACAATGTAGTACACACTTGCAAGAAGGTTTTACTTTATTGAAGCCATGAAGCACTTGAACAGAGCCACTGTTCAGAATAATGATTACTCAGAGAGTCGGAAAGGTTAAAGCAAGTTCATAATCATTACAGCCAATAAACATGGTTCCCCTGCACGCCCAAATGGTTTCTTGCGCGCCCGAACCTTGGGAAAGCAACTGCTACTTTATTATAAATAATCATGCGATTCACACAGTCTCTACTAATTACAGACAAAGCAAAGCTCACTTGCTCTTCCACCTGTGGCCTTGGCTAGATAACGTTACATCAAAGCATGGCTGGCGTATACTGAAAGGAATGCAGAGCAACAGGGGAAATGTGCGCATGACGGCCTGAGCGCATGTATGGGGGGGGGGGAAACAGCGTATAGAGGATTATACAGACAAGAATAAACATTTGGCCGCTTGCTGACAGGATTAGGCCTGGGGACCCTGCATCACTTTAGATACCTTCAAACGACTAACCAATTATGAACGTAAAAAGCCAGTGGGGGAGTGGGGGCTCTCCAGTGTTTTGCAGAGAGTGCCTCATGTCCACTGGGTGGAAATCATGGGTGTGTGCTTGCTGCGTGGAGTTTGTGGCTCTCAGGGAGCAGGTTCATTCTCTTGAGGCTGGAGTTGCCTACCAGGAGAAGCCGAGGCAGAGAGAGAGGTTTGAGGAAGGGACCCTCAGGGATTTACCAGAATAATCCCACTCATGTGCTGATAGCTCTTCTGTTGTTTTGGAGAGTGAGAGTCTCGAGGTTGGAGGGCATCAGTCTGAGGAGGAGGGATGTGATCTCTTAGAAGGGACCCCTTCCTTGGGCAATGGACCAGTATCCTCTCATACCAAGGATACCCCTGGGGTGCTGGGGGGGAGATGTGCTTCTGGTAGCAGGTGATTCAGTTATTAGGAATATATAGAGAGGGGTCTGTGACAGGCGTTTTGACTGCATGGTGACTTGCCTGCCTGATGCAAAGGTTGTGGCCATCACACACTGTCTACATAGGCTGATAGATAGTTCTGGGGAGTAGTCAGCAGCAGTCATGGTGCATGTTGGCACCAACGACATTGGGAAATGTAGTCATCTGGTCCTGGAGGAAAAATTAAGGTTACTGGGCAGAAATTTTTCTCCCTCTCCCAAAATACTAGAACTTGAGGGCATCCAATGAAGCTGATGGGCAGTTGTTTCAGAATAGACAAAATGAAATACTACTTAAAGCAGAGAGTGATTAAAATGCGGAATTCACTGCCAGAGGATGTAGTGATGGCCACAGGAATTAAAGGGGGATTTGATAGAGTCAGGGAGAGTAAGTCTATCAATGACTACTAGCCATGATGACTGAGGGGAGCCTCCACATTCACAGGCACTAATCCTCTAAATCCCAGAGCCAGGAGGCAACATCAGGGGAAGGCCTCGGCCTCTTATGCCATGTTGTTGGCCCTCCAGAGGAACAGGTTGGCCACTGTGTGAGACAGGATGTTGGACTAGATGGACTATTGGTCTGATCCAGCAGGGCTCTTCTTATGTTCTTATAATCTTGGACAAAGTTTGCTCCCACCTCAAAATTTCCAATGATCCATTTTACACAACTAATTTCAGAAACAGATAGCTCCTCTTTTTTTATTGATTGGAAAATTTAAGCAGCAAATCTACAGAAGGGCTTCGAAATACAGATTTACTAAGCAGTCAAAATCTAGACTACTTTAAATATTTGTCTAACCACCCAAA